TCTCTCTCTCTCTCTCTCTCTCTCTCTCTCTCTCTCTCTCTCTCTCTCTCTCTCTCTCTCTCTCTCTCTCTCTTTCTCTCTCGGAGGGCGCGGTGTCCCGGCCCTCCTCTGTGTATTAGGTCCCTGTCTGATAACGGCCCCTTGTCCCAGTATCGTGGCCAATGGGGGTCTATGGGTGTGTTTCGGAATTAAGTTCCCTGGTACCTGGGCTGTACCATGACGTGGACCGGCACTGTTCGATGTTTGCCTCAACAAAATGGTGCGCCACAGGGCTTTCCATTGGTCCACGCAGACTCGGTGCCCTGCTGTACAGCAGAGCACAACCGGCCTGTGGCCGTGATAGCCGCCGGGTTCGCCCTGGGACGCAGAGGTGGAAAGGCCGGCGCTGTCTTTTCTACAGCGCGTCGACTGCACCTTGGTCAAATTATGGGTCAGGTACGTAGGCCCGCTGTGACGGTCGAATAGAAGATGGGCTGAGGATGAAAAAAAAGGAGGGTGATGAGAAATAAGAGGGAAAAGGGGAAGTCAAACGTCGGGACTGCGTGTAAATTTGGGCCCTTGTTTCAGTTCGAGGTGACCCAGCGAACGCTGATTGCAGCAGCGGTATGATTTCTTCCTTTTTCTATTCTAATATTATTATTACTTAGATTTTTCCCTTTCACAACTGTTGAGTTTCCTTTCTGATTTTTTTCTTTTCTTTTCGTCGTCCCTTCTTTCAGCCTTTCTTGGCAGCCTGTCGTTTTGTGGGGTGGCCAACAGATTGGGTTCCGAGTCTGTGCAGTGGCCTATGGCCTAGGCTGGCCTAACCCCTTTTGCATATCGCCTGTATTGGACTTGCTGGGCGGGGCTCTGCGCGGCAGGGTCCTTGAAGCCATGATAAAGGGTTGGATACAGTGGTGTCCAGGAAAAAGGGGGCGTAAAAAGGAAAGGAAAAATCAAAAGGAGATGAGGATTTTTGGACTTGTGCAGGAACCAGTACCGCTACTCAGGCAGAGCTGCGACGCGGAGAGGATCTGAAGCGCCGTCATTCTTTTATTACTATCATTATTTTATTTTTATTATTATTATTTAGTTCTTTAATTTTGAATTCTGATTGTTGGCCTGTCCTTTCGCGGGAAGCCAACGGTTCGAATTTCGAACCACCTATCCGTGGCCTAAGTAGGCCGACCCCACGTATACAGTCTGTGGGTGGGCTTCGATCTAACATTGCGTGGCAGGACCTCAAAAGGAGGGCGACCCGCGGCCTCATTGGTAGGAGGCCTATCACCCCGCCCCAAGGGAGGGTCATAAGCCCCCTCCTTTCCATCGGACACAGGCACCCAACAGAAAGAGCACGGTGCTCTCTTTTAAGGTGAAAACCCGGACGGTCGGGATCTCGTTATGGGACCACCACTTCAGGGTTGTAGTCGCTTCTCGGCGGGGTGAAGCGACAGGGGTCGATAGCAGAAAGTCTGCAGTCGCCGGTGATCACTGAGACTTCGCGATTTTTATTTTGATCCGTTTTTTTTTTATTCAATTGTTTATTTCATTTAATTAATTATATGGCCCCAGGTTACTGATGAGCAGAGTTTCGGAGGGTATCTCGTTTAGAACGTTGGGGTCACAACATACGGTCGATCGTATAAAAAGGGATGAGACTTGGCTATCTAGTGGCTGATCAGGGGGGCGCTAGTGGACTGCTTCGTGACGTTAGTGCAACAGCCACTTTGTTGTGCGAGCATCAATCGACCGGGGTGAAGGATACAGAATAGCGGGCGTTTAGTGGATGTCGATTGTCTATGCCTAGGACCAAGGTTTTGTCTGATTTTGAGACCAGTCATGGTGCTACATGGCTATAGGCTTGGCAGTTGGCGGCACACGGTGCGCTGGGTTCCAGTGTCGGGTGAAGGCCCTCTGATTACGACGGCCCTGAACTATGATGGGGGAGAAGTAGTCCGATTGAAAGTCTGCATTGAAGGGGGGAGAGAGGAGGAGATGCGAGGTCATCAAAGGCTACAGGCCGCCATTTTCGAAGCGCGCGACAGGGCGGAACGGAGGTGCAGACAAGACAGGGTGACCGTGGGCTTGAGGGTGTCGGTCATCTAGCACGAGACCGAGTCTTCGACTGGGACTGAGACAAGGGAGGAATAGCACAACGAGAGAGACTCAGGTGGGGAGAGCGAGATGAGTGAGGCAGACCGGGAAACTGACCTTAGGTCCTGGATCAGGCCAGGCAAAATCAAGAGGCACCACTGAGCCTCAGGGCCGGTGGAAAAGGGACCCGAGGCCAGCTCACGACAACAAACGCCCAGGGGCCGCGGGACGGGTGAGAAACCGAGCAAAGGAAAAAGACGGGTCTGAGGGAATGTGCGGGGGAGAGCGTGAACGGGACGAAACTTGAAACAGAGGCAGGAAGCAAGAGCACGGGCACATACGCGACAGGTAGCGTGTCCTGCGAGAGGGCAGTCAACGCAAAAGAGGGGGCGAGTTTTGCAAGAGCCGAGTGACGTCAACCGTTATTCTTGTGAGACTGAGCGCAGCGAAGATTGAGCTTGCGGGGGGGGGAGTGGCAGGACTAATTTTTTTACGTCCCGAAAGTCAAGTTATGATTGAGTCTGTGCACGTGGAATGGTCGACGTGTGAGAGGGACGCAGGGCGAAAGAGAGCGGGACTGAACCCAAAACGGGGTTAGCGTGCATACTCGCGCGACAGGTGGACGTTCGAGGGAGAGGTGCAAAGAGAAGGTCAAAGAGAGTGCACGACGGTTGACGTCAAGACCTACCTGCACGCTTGTATGGAGCACGTGTTATTGCTCCCAGTGGGGAAGTGCACAGTGATGCATGCGAGAAAGAGAGTTGAAACGAGGGAGGGGGTCAGTTCCAAGAGAAGCGACGACAGTGAAGCTTGCGTGCCTGCAGTACACGAAGAAAAGTCCATGCGCCCACCAAGAGTAGTTGTCGTCATCTTTACCTGGCTTGGAATAGCAGGAACTCCGTCCTCTCAGAGACTCGAGCTGTCACCTCAAGATCACTAAAAAGACGCCAGGGGAAAAACTAATGGCGACTAGCGCGTCTTCCACGGGAAGTTCCCTCATGACGCCGCAGAAACAGGGCCCCTCATTATCCTGATCGGCGCATGCATGATCTGCTTGATCCAGAATTATCTGCTGAGAGATTCATATCCCCTTTTAAGGCGTTTTCACTTACCGGTTGGCGCGCTCTCTCTAAAGGCTATCAATCTTGCTACCACCGGGTGACTTTCTGCTTGTGACGAGTACTGCTATCAAAGCCATCGATGCGCTTCTTTATAACTGCCCTGGCTGAACCCTTAGGAAAGGTGGTGGTCATTGCAAGATGATTCTTTCAGTACTTACTATCTTCAGTTTCTTCTTTTTGTTTTTTTTTTATTGTGGCTGTTTCGGTTAATTAGAACGATTGATCGTTGTTAACCGATCATGTTACGTCTTGACAAGGGTTAAGCCCGCAGTAGACTGTGTGTGAGTGGACAGGGGAAAGCCCCTGGCTCATAATAACGATTTGAAACGTGCTGGCTGTGAAGGAAAACCAACGTATGGGCTACTAGATTAAGTGCATTTGCAAGGTTGATGGGGTAGGATAATCTTGGTTTTGGCACTTGTCCGTTGGATGTGTTCCCCTGTGGCGAGTGTTTTTACTCGATTATTCGGCAAGGTCGAAGAGACACGCAGCCTTTGTATTCGCATGCTTAAATTCCGCAAAGACGGAGATAACAGATATATTTGGGACTCGGACTTTTCTTTTCCTTTTTCGTCCCTTGTGTGGTTGTCCCGTGTGACAGCACTGTGGTTGCACTGTGTGACTGCATTGCGTGGCTGCACCGTGTGACGGCACTGCGTGGCCGCACTATGAGACTTCACCGCATGGTTGCATCTCGTGACTGTATGATATGACTGCATGGGTGTGTGGGTGCGTAGGGCGTAGGCTTGCATGTGCTCGCCCTATTGAACGGTTACCAACAGTGGTATGAATTCGTTTGTGTCCTGAGATAAGTCGAACTTGTGACTGTACAAACCTACAAATGCCTGTATGTGTGTATGTAGACGAATGCCCGATTGAATGGAGTTGCTGGCTCGATAACTACAGGTAGACATTTGATCGAACAGTACAGGCATAATTCCAAGCTCGCTGGACGGGCCTATTCTGTCAATGGAAGTGCGGGGGTGATTTTCAGGCCATGTTTTCATAATTTTACCCTCTCTAAATAAATGGGAAAAGGAAAGTTAGAGCTGAGAAAAATCTACTATATCCTCGCCAAGTTTTTACTTGACGGTGATTGACTAACTCTTATCCTATCCCTTTAGTCTGTATCAACTGACAAAAGGGAGGAGAGGGTTCCCACAAAAGCAGAGCCAGTAAGTCCCCCCCCTTTTATGCATATCTGCCTCGTCAGATTTACAATACATGCCCAGGGCACCAGTTAGCAGGGTTCACTTGTAGTGTTAGGTGGTTCAGACAGACCACCAGGTAGCTTGGGTTTTGAGTTATGAAGTCARAGCTACTCAGTTGATGSAATAACCAGACCATTGTCAGGGACACTCAGTTGGAG